CAGCCCGTGCCGCACGCGCTCCTCGGCCTTCTCAGTGGGCCGCAAGGCCGCCCTGCACAGCAGCGAGGACTTCCAGCCGCTGCTGTTCGACACCGTCTTCGTGAACCCCGACGGGCACTTCGACATGGCCGCCGGCCACTTTGTCGCGCCCCTGCGCGGCCTCTACTTCTTCAGCCTCAACGTGCACAGCTGGAACTTCAAGGAGACGTACGTGCACGTGGTGCACAACGAGGAGGCGGCCGTCATTCTGTATGCGCAGCCCAGCGACCGCAGCATCATGCAGAGCCAGAGTGTGATGCTGGCCCTGGCGCCAGATGACCGGGTCTGGGTGAGGCTCTTCAAGCGAGAGCGTGAGAACGCTGTGTACAGCGACGACGTGGACACGTACATCACCTTCAGCGGCCACCTCATCAAGCCCGAGGACGACTGAGCACCTCAGTCACCCTCCTGGCTGGTGACTCAGGTGCTGGACGGCTGTGAGCTGGTCCCGCCTGCAGGGCGGGAGGCCTGACTTCCTCTGCTTTCCTTACCGCCCTTATCCCTCCTGGTCTGCTTCTGCCCCTCCTTCCTCTCTGGCATTCATTTCCAGGAACTTTCTAATCTCCAAACTCTGGAACTTGCCTAGCTTCACAGCCCGGCCCTCTCACACTTGAATGTGTGCATCTGTCTCCTGAGGATCTTGTGAAAATGCAGATCCTGATCCAGCTGGTCTGGAGTGGGCCCAGGATTCTGCATTTCTGACAAGTTCCTAGGCAGTGCTGAAATTCCTGGTTTATGGACCATACTCGAGTGATCAGTGCTCTAATCTGGTACTTTCTGAACATTCTAGTACATTCTAGAACTTTCTGAATATTCTAGTATATACTAGTACTTTCTGAATATTCTGGAATCGTCTAGGCACTTTGGGATTCTTAATATTGTCAAATTCTTTCATCACTGCAGGACTCCCCTCCATGTCCTCTGCTCTTTCCTTCCTGTCCTACTCTTCTCTTTACTGCCATATCTGCAGGGGCCATTCGTTTATTCATTCATCAAACACTGAGCATTTGGTCTATGCTTAGCCCCAAGAGAGCAGAGACAAATCACACACAGGCCCCGTACCTAGCTCTGCTCTTGGTGAGCACCCAGTCCAGCCTGGGTGGTGGTGGGGCAGACATCAACGAGCACACAGATTTGAATCAAGACCCAGAGATAGGCCTGTGCTCTGGGTGCTCAGTTTCCTCATTTCCCATTGCTCCCTGGTGCACAGGGTCCCTGAGGTGAGGGTGCTGTCCCCTTTCCACTTCTGTACCTTCCTGCCCGCTCCCATCATTAAAGCAACCCCCAGAGGAACCCTGGCTAGGTCAAGGGTTCTGTGGGAGAGGGCTCAGGAGTCTGGGAGCATTTGGGGCCAAAGGAGCCCCTGGGGAATGGAGCCCAGATTCCTAGCAGCCCACACAGCTTACGGTGGCCTGTGGTGACTCTGGCCCTCCCTACCACAACTCTCCCATCCACCCCAGGGCTCCCTAGGGCCTTGCTCAGCCCCTCTTGTCAGTCATGATTCCAGCTGCTGTCGGACATGGATGTCTGTCCCAGGTGCTCTCTGACCTCTCTGGCCGCTCTCACCAGCCCAGTGCCCCTGACTTACCGGGCTTTCTCAAGGTGCTAAGGCCAGGTGGGCAGCTCCTGCCATGCTGCCCTTCCTGGTGGTGCTGCCCTGACAGGCGCAATGGGTATTGGGCCAGGACGAAGGCAGTGGCCTGGGAGCCCTCGGCAGGTCTGTAGAGGTGACACGGGACACATTCAGGTCACTGCGGACCTCCCTTGAGCTGTGCTGCCAAGCCAGGTCCCGGGAGCAGTCTCTGTCCTTTCCTGGGTTGTGTGGCCACCAGTCTTCCCCTCTCCCTCCAGGTGGCCTGACCCTCTCCCCAGAAGGTCACAGCTGCTGGCCATTGGGTGCTTCTTCTGCAGACTCTGGGGCACAGGGGGCCCTGGGGCAAGCTCTGGTGCTCACAGCCAAGGGAGCCACGGCCACCAAGGCTGGTGCTATAAGTCACCCCTGGCTGGCCCACACCCTGTTGTGCTTGTCTGTGTGATTAAAGGATGCTGTGTCCCCTGGCAATTCAGGCTGCTGCTCTTTGCTCTGTGCCCTTGACCCACCCTGCTCCCCATCCTGCTGGGGCCAGGGACAGCCCTGGACTTCACTCTGTGTGTTCCCTACCTGCGAAGAGACCAGTCCCTCCTCCCCCCCAGTCACTCACACAGCTGCTGGGCCCTGGAGTTAGTGGAACCAGTTCAGAGTCTGCTGTGACCCAGGTACTGCCCACATCTGTGAGCCTTCATTTTTTTTTTTTTCGGTCTGTAAAATGGGGCTGCTGATGACGGGTGACACAAGATTAGCAGGGAAACCCACACAGCGCTTCACAGTGGGCGTCTTGGCGGTGCAGCTGTCTGAGGTCACACTGGGCTGTGCATACCCATGCATTTAATGTGACAAGCCTCAATGTCCCCTGTGACAGCACAGGGCCTCCCATCTTGCTCTGCAGGGCCATTCTGTTTGGTGGCTTTCTGGGCACCGCGCGGAAGAACTGTGTTGTGAAGAACCTTCCATCTGCAGTGGCCTCTGATCCAGCCCAGCAGCCATAGATGCAGGGCTCTGGTTCCCTGGAGCCCACATGGTCCAGAAAGGAGGCTCCCAGTGCACCCAGGTATTTTGTAGTGATCTCTGACACCAGGGAGCCATCTCACAGGTGCTGTGGCCGGGATGTGTTCGCCCCCATCTCACACCCTGGTCCTGGTGGGGATGGTGGCCTTGGACAGCCAGGAGCTTCTTTTCCTGTGAGTTCCCGAGAACTGGTTCTTGGCTGATTGAGGAGGCAGCAAAGCTGTCGAAACTTCCTGCTGAACACCTGCAGGAAGATCCAGGTTTCTCCCTTGCAAACCAAAGCCAAAACTGGTGGGCATTTCCAGGCTGTATTAGTCTGGGGCACCAAGGCTGGCACTGCATGCCCCACCTTGTCCTCCCATCTGACCGCTCTATGCCAGGGTAGGCTGTGGCTGTCTGGGTGCTGGCGAGCCTCCAAGGGGCAAGTCACCCGGGCCAGGTAGAGCACCGAGGGCAGGACTGATGGCAGGAGGGGCCATGCTGTTGTTGAAGGAGGACACAGAACATCTGAAAACAGGGCAGATGATGGAGGCTGGGGCATGTGGAGAGGCTGTGTACCCATAGCCTTGGGAGCACGTGAGAGATTTGATAGCAGAAGAGCCAGCCAGGTGGGGTGCTGCATGGACAGAGGATCTGTCCAGCAGACTCTGTTGCCCCTATAAGACTTTGCTCTGATCTTGGGAGGGAAAGGGGCCCTGAGGTCTGGGGGCAGCCTCTGTTCTGAGTCTGCCTGGGATCCTTGTTTGGCTAGAGGGCTGGAGCTTGCTGGGTAATGTTAGCCTTCATCAACCTGCACTTTGTTCTTTGCCTGTAACATCAGATTCAAACTCTCTCCCTCTTCCCTTATTGAGGACACTTACTCCACAGAGGGACCAGAGACTACATGGGAGAGACTGTTTTTAGAGTCCCAGATCAGAATCTGTGGAGAAATGAGCACTGATTGTGTCAGAAAGTATAAAGTGCCCATGACTAGGGCCTGGGAAGTTTCAGAGGGGTGACCAGTGCTCATATTCCAGGACACAGGCTCTGGAGCCAGGCTGGGGGCTCTGATCCAGACCCCCTTCCCTTAGCTGTGTTCCCAGTTTGAATTCTACCTTGTGACTCCCAGAGGGTGACCTGGGCTTACCACTCCTGCTGCATGAGACTTGGTTTTGCTGTGGCTGAGGATGGGAGGTGACAGCCATCCCATGCATGAACAGGACAGAACCCTGATGAGCCCTTGCCTGTCAGTGAGCTTGGGGGACTGGGCACAGGGGAAGCCAGAAGCAGGACGCTGGGCCAGGCATGGAAATGCTACAGCTTGCTTCTCCTGTGCTGCCCCGCTTGTCAGCTCCTCATGGTAGCCACGGACCTCCACGTGTGCATCTAGAGCCTGGGGAGAAACAGGCAGATTCCACGGAAGCAGAAACAGCTGTAGAGTACATTGTGGGTGGGGCTGAGCAGCCGAGGGCTCCAGAAGCAGAAAGGAAGGAGGGATTTCCAGGACATGAGTCAAGAGTTCACAGGGCTGTGCAGGCCTGGCTTCAGGGCAGCTGGTCGCTAAGCTGGGAGGGACATCGGCGGCCAGCGTGGAGGGGGAGCCATCAGCGGTCTGGGTGCATGGAGGAGGTGACCCTCTCAGGCCAACAGCAGGGTGAGGCAGGCAGACGCACCCCGCATGTCCTGGGGGGCGACTGGCTATCACCGCTGACTGCTAGTGACGTGCTGACGCTGCGTGCCGGGGTACATGAGAAACAGAGCTTGCCTGCCTGTCTGGCGGATCCATCTCCACGAGGGGCTTCCGTCTGCTGAAGTGGAAGAAATGTGTTTTGGTCCAGCGGGGCTCCCTCCCGTGCACTGCCCTCCCTGTTGGCAGATGGAGCCCCTCTGCTCTCCGCACGTCCTCGCTGGGCTTGCCAGCGTCTGGTCAGCTCCTGGCTGTGGGTCACCCACGTACCTGCTGCATCGTGCTCATCTGCCAAACCTCCTCTGCCTCTTGGGACTCCCAGATCCCCTTTGTGCACTCCATGGCCCCCGAGAGCCACCTGAGCCTGGTCCCATCTGCTTGGGTACACTATGGGGACATTTCTCTGCGAGGTTCTGCCCAGGAAAGGGGAATGGCCCCTCTGAATCTCAGGTGCCCCAAACATTCAGAGGTCTTCTCTGTAGCCCTCCACTGGGCTCACCTGGGGGTGGAGAGGACAGGATCACTTTGCCCTGGTTTTCTCTCAGTGACACTGCCCTCGTGTCCCGCTGTCTCACCGTCAGTGGGAAGCATGGTGGGGGGTCCTCTCCCCACACTCTGAGCTGGACTCCCCTTGTCTGGTGCCCCTCCCTCACTTTTTGCTACACGGCCCTTCTGTATTTGCTGATGTGCTTTTGGGTGCACAAACACATGACCAACACAACACAGCAAAAAACGAAAAAAGACCTTGCTATAATCCCCAGGTTTGGGAGGCCGAGACAGAAGGATCTCAGCGAACACAAGGCCAGCCTAGACCACATGAGTTCACTTGAACTACAGAGTGAAACCCTGTTAAGTCACACCACACGGCAACTTCAGGGGCTCATGAATTCAGCAGCTCAGCGACCTCAGTGAGGACTGCGATTTGTCCTGTATTTTAAGTTTGTTCTGAGCACAACAGCTTTGCCCTTAGCCCAGCTTTTGGCACAGACAGTGGCCAGAGATTCCTGTTTGGGTTCCAGGTGTCACCTCGCAGGCATGGCAAGGCACAGTGAAAGAATCACAGATGATTTGTGCAGCAGCAGCTCTTCACTTCTCATTGGCCAGAACTGGTCACATGACTGTCCTCACCCTAACCTCTGGCAAGGAGAAAAGGATGATGGGAAGTGAGAGTTGTCCAAAAGGCTGGCCTCCAGCCCTGAAGTCAAATAGGAGTCTCACTAGGAGGAGGGGGCTGGGAAGAAACTGAAGTGCACAGCTGTGGCAGCAGCACTGATGTACCCCTGAGACCCCCCAACATCACCCCACAAGAGCCAGTGCTGTTGGTTAGTGGTTGGTTTAGCTAGCAGAGGCAGCTGGAGGTGCTGCCTGTGTCCTGCTCTAGCCTGAGCACCTGAGGATGGGTCTCTGGGTCTCATCCTTGCTATGCCTCAGATTCCTCACCTATAGTAAGGCCATTGGGAGGATTTTGTTTTCACCTTTTTTTTGAGACAGGGTCTCACTGTGTAGTTTGGGCTAGCATTAAACTCATTAGCTCACCCAGGCTGGCCTCCATCCTTCTGCTTCAGGCTCCCGAGTGCTGGGATTACAGGCGAGTGCTGCCACACCCTTTGAGGACGGGCCTGTGGTCCATGCGAAATACTGGCACAAAGGAGCTGGGCTTAGTGGTGTCATAGTTTAAGGCAGGCCCTTTATTATACTCATTTTATAGGAGAAGCCACTGTGAAACACAGAGACCCATCAGCTCCCCTCACTCATGAATCAGCTGTCCCTCTGGACACCTGTCAGGGGCTCAGCACTGTGCCAGGCACAGGGGACAAAGTAGGGAGTGAAACCCATCCAGTCCCTGCCTCAGTGGCTTGCAGTCTGGCAGGGAGAGTGACACTGCCCAGTCCCGGGCACCGCAGCCTTCACTATGGAGTCAGAGCTGTCAGGGAACAAAAGGGACACGAAAGTGGGAGGGTGACAAGGGCACAGCTGAGGGTGGCCAGGTCACGGGGGCGTAGGGCAGGGCTCCTTCCCTGCATCTCCAGGGGCCTTGAGCCTGGTTGCCTGGAGCCCGCAGAGCACTGGACCTGGCCTGCTGTGGCTGATGAGGGCCGCTCGGCCTGAGTCGGAAGGAGGCACTTTGGTTCCCAGGCTCCCAGGGTCTCCTCTCTTCCTGGGACCCCAAACCTCACACACTTACCCACCTCTCTTCCTTGCCTGTCCCTGGGGGCCGGGTGGTTGATGGCACTGAGGGACCTCAAGGCCCGCAGGGTGTGCCGGTCCTGCTCCCGGAAGTCAGGAGGCAGAGCTAAGCGGAGCTTTCTTTCTTTTTAAAAATTCATTAATTGTGTTGGTACATTTTAGGTATACGATATGATGACATTGCTCGTGGGAAATTTGTACCTTTACATGATATATCTTTGTTCTTATTTTTCCATTCCCCTGCCCTCCCTTCAACCCCTCCACCCCTCTCTATTTACGAAGACTTTATTTCTGTTTTTTCCTTTTCTCATATTTTTTCCTTCCCCTTCTTTCCTTTTCACTACCCATCCCACTTCCCTTTCCCCTTTGAACCTTTTCTTCCCATTTCACATTATCTATTATTCATTTTGATCCTTATTTACACTTTCAGTTTCTCACACCAGAGGAAACTATTCGGTATTTACACACGTGTGTCCTATTTATTTCACTTAAGACTATGTCCTCAATGTGCATCCATTTAGCTATAAATGTCTCTAGTTTCTCATTCTTTATGGCTGAGTAGTACTCCATTTTATTTTTTAAAACCCACATCTTTCC